ATTATAATGATTTAGGGTTTGCTGTGACAGGCTCTTGTGACATCTGTCAAATTGTGGCTTGTCTCTTTATTGTGCTCTAAACTACCCCCTGTGTGCGAGGAATGGCCGGGGTTGCCACCACTGGCGGTGGCGGGAATCGAACGCAGGTCAGCTAGATGTTAGACGAAAGTGCTACCACGGCACCAACAACACACATGTATGCATGTATGTATGTACATACATACATACATACATTACTGCATACCATATACATACATACATACATATAGAGAGACAAACAAACAGACAAAAGAGATAAAAAAAATCAAGGAATTAAGAACATTTCCAAACAAATTAAAATATATTATGTGTGTGTGTGTGTACACACACACACAACACAAAACACACACACCACACAAAACACACGCAACACACACACACACACACACACATATATATATGTTGAAAAGATTTGGAAACATAAATCATCTTTTCTGATATTGTAAAGAAATTGCAAATGCTTTGTGTACCTCTCCCCAGCGGACACAGCTTCGTGCGGCTCAGATTAATATTCAGCTGATTTACAGTGTGCAAGACTTTTTGGCGCAGCATTGTTATTTCTCTGCGAATTCAGAAGGGAAGCAGCAGTTAAATGCAAATGTTGAACGGCCGGGGGTGGGGTGTGGGGGTGTGGGGGGTGGGGTATGGTGCAGGATTGCTAGTTGGCTGAAATTGGTTGTAATTGCTGAGAATCGTTCTTAGTTCCCGATCAGAAAGATAATTACTATGATAAATACCATGATAATAGAAATATGAATGTATGGTAATATGCTTTTGTGTGCGTGTTTGTGTTAATAAATAAATAAATAAATATATAATATATATATATATATATATATATATATATATATATATATATATATATATATATATATATATATATATATGTGTGTGTTGTGTGTGTGTGGTGTGTGTGTGTGTGTGTGTGTGTGTGTGTGTGTGTGTGTGTGTGTGTGTGTATGTGTGTGTGTGTGTTTGTTGTGTGTGTGTTTATGACTGTTTGTATGTAAGACAGAACAGAAAGACAGGGACTTTAGGGAAAAGGTACAAATCCGTAAGAAGCCTTTTTTAAATCGCAGAACTTACCTTTGCAAAACCGAAAAGTAAGAGGGAACATATACTGTAGTCTCGCATTAAATCTTCAATATGTAATAAGCAGAAAAGTTTACGTGGTGTTCTCTCTTATACTCTCTCTGATGTATGTATGTGTCTGTCTGTCTGTGATTCTCTTCCTCCCCCCCTTCTCTCTTGTCTGTTTGTCTTTCTCTCCCCCTCCCCTCCGCTCTCCCTTTCTCCCTTCCTCCCTCCCTCTCTCTTTCATCCCCCTCCCCCTCTCTCTCTTTCTGTCTGTTTTTTCTGTCTCCGCCTTCTGTTTACGAGCCTGTCTTTATCTCTCTGTCTGTTTTTCTCTCTGTCTCTGCTCCAATTCGCTCTCATTTGTCTGGTCTGTCTGGTCTTCTGTCTCTCTCTCTCTCTCTCTCNAAGGGACACGCAAAAGCCACGTGGGAGGAGTACAATCAAATACTAAGCATTGCTGCTGTATTTTACTTCATGTCTGTATTCAAGTTTCCGTACTTGTCCTTGTTTAGTCAGTGACTCTGTGTATCACGTGTGTTGCAATTACCCTACTGCATAGTATTTTACATAAGTTAATTTCTCGCTTTTGATATTGCATTTTCTTCTAAATCTGAAACATTAGGAATATCTGAAGTTCATGTAAGTTTTCCAGTAATTGAAGCTTATTAGTATTCCAAGTGAAGAAAATAAAACCTTAAAACTAGGCCTATATATGTATGATGCATTCATCTTCATGTATTGATGGCACAAACACCGAGTGTACCATAGAACTGTAGGGTATTTCAAATGTATAATCAGACAGACATCAGTGATATTAAAATATTAAAAGAGAGGAGAAGGCATATAAAAAAGGAAAACGTGACCTTAGAAAATTTATATGACCATAGATAAGACGTTTGAACAAATATTTTTCCCTCTCACAGCTCTGATCGAGCGGTCGGTTCAACTCNAACCCTTCAAACTTAGAAAGGGGCCGGGGGTACTCGAATCTTGCGGCTCCTTGCTGGTTCCCAGAGTCAGCATCTTCGGGGAAAACCCGACGGCTGAACGCGGTCTCTGGCTGCTTCGTCGCCAGGCTTCGAAGCAGATGCCCCTGGCGCTCGAACGCTACGCCTGCCCGCCCGTGACAACGCCCTCGGGGGAGCACCATGGCAACGAGGAAAGGTGGAGTTGGTCTCCCCTCACGCTCGCTCGAAGCTCTTACTCGGCGTTTCTTTAGTTGAAGTCGGTCCCGGTTAACACAACCACAATTCGCAGAGGACTTGGTTCAAGGAAACGACTTTCTCTTCAGTAGATCGCTTTGGCGGTGTTAATGCAATTAAACAATGTTACTACCACGAGACAAAAGCCCGGCTGAACCCCGTAAAGCCCGCGCCTCGCAGCCGAGGGCGTGGCAGCCTCCTCACGCGGCCCCATGACTCGTGACCTTCTGACTCGGTATTCCACATTCATGACACGCCGCATTCATTAACTTTATTCAAAAAATAATAATGAGATGGGAAGCCGCATACTGCATAATGCACTGCTAATTATTTACTGACAATAAAGAGAAAAGGAAAATGGAGATAAACAGCAAGACGAATAACGAAGGTGAAGTAGAAATAATACAGAATGGGGTTCGGCAGAAGACGAGAAAAGAGCAAACGCCACCGACATGCTGAAGGAGAACAAAAAATCTATATCGGGAAGAGCGCGGCAAGAAAGGCAACGCGGTACTCTGTGAATGAACAAACACCTGTGGATCGGAAGCCGCAATCAGATACCTGGCCCCCTCTCTCTGTCTCTCTCTCTCAGTCGTCGGTGGTAGAAACTGGCGGTTAGTGGTGGTGAGTGGTATTGGTAGGGGTTAGTGACGGTGGTGGTGGGTGGTAGTAATGCTTGTAGTGTTGGTAGATTTGTTTGTGAAGGTGAGGTTGCTGGTCGTGGTGGCGTTGGTGATGGCGTCGGTGGTCCTCTCATCGCCCCCCCCCCCCACTTACCTCTTGATGTTGTCCTCCATGTCCTCATGCTGTGACGTCAGGGCCTCGTACAGCAGGAAGCAGATCATGCAGAAGAGCGTGGTGAGAGTGTGGGCGCGCCTGTGGGGAGAAGGACACGCCCTGGCTTAGTACGGAGGCCTACCCAGCCCCAGAGCTCCCTGTACAAACCTCGACCCAGCCCGAGATCTCCCTGTACAGACCTCGACCCAGCCCGAGGTCTCCTTGTACAGACCTCGACCCAGCCCGCTCGGAATGACGCTGAAATCCTGCCAAGTTGGAGATTTTATTAGAATGAGGAATTGCGTTTCGTTTCGCCGCGGAAGCTGTCTCTCAAACGCAATCTAGAGGCCTTTCTATATCTCACAGCGGAGGAAAACTGGGCATGACTCAACTCAAACCCACAACAATATCTATTCTTCTACTTATTATTCAGTGCGAAACAATGAAGTGCCGATTGCACGCGCTACATCGCTAGCAAACTAAGCAAAAAACAAAAAAATAAACAAGATAAACAATGACATTACGGCGGCAGAACCAGCGACCAGGACGAGGCCGACGACGTCCACAGCAGGAAACTCACTCCTCACATCCTTCCTTCCTTCACTGAACCCATTCCTTACATAACCCCAAGAGCTTTTATGCAACGTCTTCACTTAGCCCGCCATGCATTCCAGTAGGCATGGACATTCACACAGCTCCTCCTGAAGATTTCTACCAAAACATCTCCGGTTTTCCTGCCACACATTCGGAAACATACATCTACGCTGGGGGGGAACAGAGCAACACCCTGTTAAGCCAGACAAGTAAGAAAAACGAAATGTCCCATCTTGTTTTCAGCAGATTTGTCTAGTTATTCCCGGAGACAGATGGCGCCGAGGCATGCAATTCCGCCGTTTCGACGGACAGACTTTCATTATTCAGACCTTCTAATCTACTAAACGTTTCTGCCCAGTAGGGTTGCCGGTTATTTGCAACATATTTCTACCATCGCCATGCACATATTATATAATATATTTTTGTATCTTCAGTTAGGCCCAAGGGATAGAAAATTACAAGAATCTTTCTCTGCCATGAGCCTTGTTAATCTATTAGAATAAAAAATAATTAATAAATCTATAAATGAATTAACAATATCAAAGAAAAAAACATACAGAACCACGGATACACACACACACACACACACACACACACACACACACACACACACACACACACACACACACACACACACACACACACACACACACACACCACACATATATATATCTATATATATATATATATATTATATATATATAGATATATATATATATATGCGTACGTACTTGCGTGCGTGCGTGCGTGCGTGCGTGCGTGCAAGCGTGCGTGCGTGCGTGCGTGCGTGCGTGTGTGTCTGTGTCTGTGAGTGTGAGTGTAAGTGTGAGTGTGAGTGTGTGTGTATGCATCTATATATATGAAATATGTATATATATATAAACACAACCACACACACACACAACACACACACACACACACACACACACACACACACACACACATACATACATACATAACATACATACATACATACATACATACATATATATATATATATATATATTATATATATATATATATATATTATGTATGTATATATATATTTCATTCACTGATTTATTTCTGAGGAATATATTTCCTTGTTTAAGCACAACCCAAGTTTTAAAAAATCTTGAATAATAAAAAAAAAAAAAACCACTGTAACAACGACATGATAAACATATTTGTGCAAGAAAAAGATGCGATTATCGGTAATTGGACTTTTTTGTGTGCGTCATGTATACGTATATGCACACAATTTACCATCATATTTCATATTACACATATCCTCTACATTCAACACATGATATCATGAGATTTTTGATCGCCATGGACCTCCTAGGCCAGGGTTCTCCAACGGCGACAAGTTCTGTGGGTCGCCACATAATGATAATGATAATGATGATAATGATAATGATAATAATAATAATAATAATATATTATTATTATTATTTATTATTATTATTATTATTAATGATGATAATAATAATATAATAATAATATTATTATTATTATATTATTATTATATTATTAATAATAATAATAATAATAATAATAAAATAATAATAATAATAATAATAATAATAATAATAATATTAATAATAATAATAACAATAATAACAATATAACTAACATATATTATAATTATTATTTATTATAATTATTATTATTATTATTATTATTAATTATTAATTATTATTATTATTATTATTATTATTAATTATTATCATTATTAATAATAATATTATTTAATCATTATCATTATCATTATTAATTATTATTATTTTATTATTATTATTATCATTATTATTATTATTATTAATACCATTATTATTATTAATATTATGATTATCATTATGACTATCATTACCATCATTATCATAAATATAACCTGATATCGGGTTGAAAGGCACGACAGAACGGACCTGCTGGCTTGTCAAGGAAGTGAACCAAAGCAGACTGGGTCGCGGTGAAAAAGTGGAAAGAACCAGCGGTGGGCAGCGCGCGCATCGTTAAGTGAAACAAGAGGTTGTGTTGGCAAGACCACATGACAGACCGTCTGCCTAAAAATGACAATCCGAATGACAGCTTGACAGCGCAGTTGCTTGAGTAGTGTTATGACACTGGCAGGGCCATTATCATTTATAGATTCACTTGTACAAATAACTACTAAAGCGGAGGCACGAACAGACAAACGCATGACTCATAAAAAACAGCAATATGTTAAGGAATTCACAGCTGTCACATTAATAAAAAGAGCAGCGCAATATGCTATGCTGGGGCAGCACTGCCCACGCGCGGACGCTCTCGCTCTCGCTGAGAATGATCTATCGCGCGCGCGCGTGCGTGCGTGCGTGTGTGTGTGTGTGTGTGTGTGTGTGTGTGTGTGTGTGTGTGTGTGTGTGTGTGTGGTGTGTGTTGTGTGTGTGTGTGTGTGTGTGTGTGTGTGTGTGTGTGTGTGTGTGGTGTGGGTGGTGGGTGTGGGGTGTGGGTGTGGGTGTGGGGTGTGGGTGTGGGTGTGGGGTGTGTGGTGGGTGTGCGCGTGTGCGTGCGTGTGCGTGTATATATAAATATATATATATATATATATATATATATATAATTGTGTGTGTGTGTGTGTGTGTGTGGTGTGTGTGTGTGTGTGTGTGGTGTGTGTGTGTGCGTGTGTTTATGTATATATATATATGTATATATACATATATATATATATACATACACATTTATGTATGTATATATATGTATAAATATACACACGCACACGTGCGTGTGAGTATGTATCTGTGTGTATGTATGTGTGTATGCATTTATATATATACATATATATTCATGCATATATATGCACACACACACACACACACACACACACACACACACACACACACACACACACAACA